TTTGTTATCTCTAATGTATATGATTTGCAACAATTTGGTCCATTCACCCTCTCTTCCTTCCTACTCATCTTTTACTTTTATTTCAAATTTTAGAAAAGTCTTATCGTATTTGATCCTTCCACCTCCCTAATTCCTTTTATCTATCGTCCTTTATGGTTTGTGCGTATATCTATTTTTCTTCTTGATTCATTGACTTCGCTTACACTTTTATGGTTAGTGTATTTCATGTATCCTCTCATTACATGTGCTTCTAGTTACCAACAAAATAATTATAACTTTTTCTACCTTTAAAAATACAAAGTTGATCCTATCTTCCCTTCTTACTCGTTCCACTCTCCCTTACGGTTGTTCACCGGTCTAAGACCGGCCCGAAGATTGGAATTACAAAATCTAATAACCGGAGACCAAATGGGTTTTGTTCAGACACGACCAGACCAATTTTTGACTTTTTCTATGTTTTTATAGTTTTTATTAATTCATGAAAAAATGAAAAAAAAAGGAAAATGATTATTTAATGTTTAAAATAAAATAGGAAAAATACACTTTAATAATCCCAACTATTGCCTATTTATTTCTAATAATCCTAACTAAGGCTTATTTTTTAATAATCCTAACTATGCCCTGAGTTTGCCTCCAATAGACCTATCCGGTCAACACCAAGTCAATGACTTGTTGTAATAGGTAACCAATACACGTGTTAGCACGTGATTGGTTTAAATTAAAAAAATAAAGAAAAAAAAAACCCTCACAGCCACAACCCCCTCCCCTTACGCCACCGCAAAGCACTAGGGCCAACCCCCAGCCCGTCGGAAAATGGTCGGCCGTCTCCCCTAACCCTCGAAAATGGCCGGCCGGCCCTTCCCAACCACAAAAACTACCTTAGCCGGCCCATTCCCACCCCAAACCACCGAATTCGACCGTCGAAAATTCCCACTCCCAAACCACCGAAATCGACCGTCGAAAACAACCTTCCCAACATGGAAAATGACCCTCCTCCCTTCCCTAACCCCCGAATTCGGCCCCCTAGGCGGTTTCGAGGGTGTAGGAAAGGAGGAGGAGCAGCATTGATTATTTTTTTTTGTTTTCCGGCGAAGGGGGAGCGAATGAAGGGAGAAGAGTGGTTTAGGGGGTGAGGTGGATCGGATGTGTGTTTTTTGGGGGCTGGGAGGGTCGGCCAGCCACTTTCGGGGGGTTAGGAAGGTGGCCGGCCGGTGGCTGGTGGTTTTGGGGGTTGGCTTAGGGTGTCACGGTGGGTGAAGGGAGGAGGGGGTGGCTGGGTGGGTTTTTGTCTTTTTTTCCTTTTTTTAATATTAGGCCAATCATGGGTTGACAAGTGGCATTAAAAAACAAAAAAAAAAAAGCTTACCCTTCCAGCAAGTAACCAGTTTTTGGGTCTATTGAAGGCAAACTCAGGGCATAGTTAAGATTATTAAAAAATAAACTTTAGTTGGGATTATTAGAAGTAAATCGGCAATAGTTGGAATTATTAAAGTGTATTTTTCCAATAAAATAAGCTACAGTTGTAGCATATAGAATGTAAAAAATAAATACTTTATAGGTTTTAGTCATAATTTTAATAAAATAAAAATTCGTCCGATCCAAGATCGATTTTTAAGGGGTTTGGACTACTGCCAAACCAAAGATTTGTTTTTAAAATTTTTCGACTGGGAGATGGGACTGGTTTTTTTTGGTCCGGTTCTGTCAAAAGGTCGATCTAGTCCGGATTAGTTATTGAACATTTCATTCCTTTTTCTTTTTTCAATTGTCTTATATGGTTTCATGTATTTCAGAAAGTCTCTACAAAGTAGTCTTTCTTTTCTTCATCTATATCTTGTCCTTAATTGTAAGCTCTGGTTGATTCTTCCTAACTTCTCTCTTAGTCATTCCTCTTGTCTCTCTTATACCCCAATGTTTTTCCTTTTAACTATGATGTAACGATATACCTAAATTAAAAGTCTTATCCTTATACCTCTCGGCCCTTACTTTTACTATTACCTTATAGCTTCCTCACCCTTTATTTTAGAAACGTCTTCAAAGTTAAAATTTTAAGTGATTTTTTTTTTTTTTTTTTTTTTTTCTCAACCCCAATTAATTATATACTAGTAATGGTTTCTTACAATCATGGGCGGATCTAGGGGGGTTCAAGGGGGTTCATTGAACCCCCAGATTTTTTGAAAAAAATTTATAAGTTTTGATTTTTTTTTTTTTTTTTTAAAAAATAAGGTTAAAACAAATTTTTGTGAAGTAAATAAACAAACATGTAACTCTGGCACATTGGTAAGGGAGTGACTAATAGAGTAGTAAGGCTCCTCTTGATCATGGGTTCGAGACCAACCACCCTCATTTTTTTGTTTTTTTTCCCCCTTTCGATTTCTTCCGTTGTTCTTCATGAGTTAGTCCATAGTTGGGTCAATAATTTTAGGAGTAGTATGTTGGTCATTTTGTTAAGTTAGAGAGTTAAATGAATTTAGAAGTTAATGAGTTTATTTAGTGGGTTTATGGGTTAAACATGGCATTATACTTTCAGTTTCTTAGCTTATTATTTGTTGTTTGTTAGCTTACATATATAGCTCTTGTATTTGGTGAAGTAAGCATGAAGAAATATTATGAGTTCTTTATTTTACTTGCTTCATACTTATCTAATATTATTATTGTTTTTATCCTTTAGTACGTATTAGTTTCAACGGTCCTCTTATTCCTCTACTCCTCTTAATTCTTAAATCATTATTTGTTTGTAAATTAGTGATAATTAGATTAATTATTGATTTCTTCCGTTGTTCTTCATGAGTTAGTCCATAGTTGGGTCAATAATTTTAGGAGTAGTATGTTGGTCATTTTGTTAAGTTAGAGAGTTAAATGAATTTAGAAGTTAATGAGTTTATTTAGTGGGTTTATGGGTTAAACATGGCATTATACTTTCAGTTTCTTAGCTTATTATTTGTTGTTTGTTAGCTTACATATATGGCTCTTGTATTTGGTGAAGTAAGCATGAAGAAATATTATGAGTTCTTTATTTTACTTGCTTCATACTTATCTAATATTATTATTGCTTTTATCCTTTAGTACGTATTAGTTTCAACGGTCCTCTTATTCCTCTACTCCTCTTAATTCTTAAATCATTATTTGTTTGTAAATTAGTGATAATTAGATTAATTATTGATTTGTTTAATTAGTTTTGATATATTGTTGACGTACAAATTGAATTTAGAAACTTAGAATTTAAAATTTTTACTTGGTCTTTTAATTGATAATTAGAAAAAAATTTCATTATCAAATTTGTGTTTATTGGGGACTTGAGATTTTTGTTTTTCGAATTTTCGTGTAATATTGATTTTTTGCAATATAATTATAGATTTATCATTTATAGAAGTAGTAATGTTTTAGCACGCTTTCAAAGTATAAAACTCGAAGAATGCTTTTTAGGTTTTTTTTTTATTTATTATTTTATAACTGTTTTTAATCCATCCATTTGTAATAAAAAATTTGAACTTATATATTGAATATTTAATTAATATATCAGCATCGTTTGTTTTTTAAGATTCCGAACCCACAATTCGGAATTCCTGGATACGCCACTGCTTACAATAATCTCTATCTCTCAATTTGTCAAATCGTCTTTTCCCTGACCTCTTTACTAAAACTTTAAGTTTTTTTATTCTCGATTATCTTACTTCTTCGCTCCTTACATTACTTTCTCAATCATGGCTCATTTTGTCATCACTAGAGTTTTCCTCAATAATCCTCTTGCAGTAAGTTAAAAATTGTGGGAACTTTAAAAAAAAAAATATATATAATCATGTTTTTAAGTGTTGTTTTATAATACATTTTTTTTGGGTGATTGGTTTGTATTGTTGTGGGAAAAAAGAATCATCTCAATCTTTACAATTATTAAAATAAAATATCAACTCTTTTGCTGATATAATTTGTTTTCTTTCCTTTTTTAAAGCTCCTATTAAATCCAAAGCCCTTTTTTTGCATCTTTATGGACTTTATTTTATAGTACATTTTACTTGTACTTTGAAGTTTAAAGGTTAGAAATTATTGTTATCTATTCATTTGAATTGAATTTGGTTATGTTTGGAAACATCACCTTAAACAACGTTCTAAAACTTTTACATATATATATATATATATATATATATATATATATATATATATATATATATATATAAAGGTTCATTAGATAGATAGGTTGAAGACATAGGGTCTTTACTTTCTAGCGTGTTTGTCTTTTTGTCATAACAATGATTAACGTGATATTAAAATGATCTAACACTAATATTACATTACACCCCAATAGAGTTGAACCAGCCATGATATAATGAGATTTGTTGGCCTTGTGAACAAGAAAGTTGTTAACATAAGCAATCCCTAGGCTAATTATTATGCACAATCCCTAAGCTACAATATCAGTTTTTATGTACAGTTCAAGGCTTGCTATATACAAGTAGAAACCTTCCACCAGTTGAAGGTTGTGTTCCTCTCTCAAGCACTCGATAGGCATTAATTCCCACTTATTGTAGTTTGGATTCTTTCTGATATCACTCATGTCCGGAGAATCATACAATTTCCATAATATGATGGTTCTCACAGGAATCTCAAATAGGAATGAAGAGATCTCTTACTTTCACAAATTTTAGTTATGCATACGATTTTTCACCTTGACTAATTTACATGTGATTGAACGAACAAAAAAATGGTAGTAAGACTAAAATAATACGACAATAATTAGGTCTTTAAATAAAAATCTAAAATAATATAATGTTGTAAGCGATGCTATTGGCCAATAAATATTTGACCTATATAATAGTACATAGCTATTAGACTAACGACATGGAATCACTACAAAATTACCATATTAACCCTACTAAGCTAACTGTCACCTTCCTAAAATAACTATGATCGCTAAACAATCTTGTAAAAAATAAAATTGTATTTAATCTTAGGCTTATTTGAAGTTGTAAATATGCTAATAACGAAATCTCTTAGCACGTACATATTTATGAAGTATCCACGCAAGAAATTCTTCGATTTTCGTACATATATATAAAACTTAGCCCAACCAATACCTCTGCAAGTGTTGCCTCCGTTTTCTCCAAATCCGCATAATGCAAAGTTTGCAGCAAAAGCACAGTAGGCTTTGAATCGAATCTCTGCTTCTCCATATTCCTCTCAGCTTGCCACATAATCGTTTTCTCAGCCACCGGAACAAGCCACTCTAGCATGTCACCCACTGCCTTCCTCCATCCTTCAGTCAATGCGTCACCATCGTAATTATTATTCTCAATCTCCCTCCAAGCAACTCTGAGTTTTGACCTCACATACATCTTTAGGCTAGAAGGCAACATGTTGTACATGCTTTCACGTGCTTGGTCTCCTATTAGAGATTCCGAGTTAAAGTACCTTTCAGCCAATAATACAACACTAGCATACCTAGAAACCAATCCAGACCCACCAACAGTTGATGGAGGGGCTGCCTGGAACACCTTGTTGTTGTTGTTAATGAGGTGATAGTTGTAATGCCTAATTGCAAGGCGTAACTTCACATCCTCCTTAACAAAAACATTACTATTATCACTACTTAAGAACTGCATATGAGGTACCTTTTTCGGGCATGGATTGATATGAATCGGACCTGACATTGTAGTTTTTGGTATTGAATCACTATATAACCTTTTGTTAATAGTTTTGTTTTGTTGTAATATGAAAATGTAAGGCCGAAAAAGCATACAAATTCGAGCATAAAGCACACATACCATTTTCGCCATGATTCCAACAACCTTGTCGTATGAATAATTCCATAGTGAAACTTCCTTCAAATGACGTACAAGTTTCCTTTGATTACAAATTTTATTATCAAAGAGATCATAGTTTGTGTTGTGGGTGCTATAATTATTTTTCCAATCATTTAATTTCTTTTCCGATGCCTCCATATGTGTTAATTCTTCAAGTTCTCCATATAATTCACCAGTCAATGATATTAACTTTTCCATTTTTTCAACCGACTTTTCCATCTCTCTCGACCCGTAATTATTTAGCTTGTGTATATCAAAGTGCCCATTCTTAAGATCCTTGTATACATTTAAAAAGCGTATCAAGCCATAATCTGAACACTTTTGGCCCAGGCGTGACACAACATTAGCAGCTTGATCCAAGTCCTCTAGTCGTTCGGCACAAGCAAGTGTCAATAGAAAGCCCTCATCCCCCGAGATAAAAAATGTTATACCCCGTTCTCGGATGACTTCTTTTCTTAAACGAAATATCTCGGCATCCGAAAGTGATTTGTATAGAGAGACTATACGAGACATTGACTTAGCTGTGTCAAAAGCAAGAATTCCTAATATGTCAGGCTTCTCATGACAAAATATCCAACGACTATCGCTGTCATGAGTCGGATTAGATTTTGTGCGTCTATGGCGTTCCGAGAGCCAAGGTATGGTGCCCAAAGTGTCTAACATTCCTGCTGGCAACTATCAAAAGCGCAACTATAATAAGGTAAAGCATAGGAGATAAGAAAAAATAATTGATATGCTGGATTGATGTCAAATAATTTTCATGGTTGATAGGTGAATTAGAGAAAAATGGAATGTATTTTGCGAGTTGCATTTTCAAAGGGCTTTCATGTGAAATGCGTTTAGAGGGGATGAAAATTATGTAGGCATAACAGGCTGTGTATGTCGAAGCCAAAAGAGATAAGTAACATTGACTATAAATTCCATAATTCAACAAGAGATAAGAGGAAGAATGTAAGAACCTATTTATTATTAGTTAATAATTTCAATCATTTTCTCGAAATTTTAGGGGGATTTCTAATTTGTTGCGTATATTTATTTATTTATTTTTTTTGCACATATACCGCCAATAATCTTGTTAGTATGTGAGGTACTAGTCATTTATTCATCTAGTGGTTATTCTCTTCCCATTGATTATGCACTTGTTATAAATCCACAAGTATGTGGTTGGTTAAGTTCATCATATTCAAGAAGTTATGCATGATACATTCATATCCATATGAAAAAATAGCAACTGAGTTTTTTCATCTATTAGATATTATTTTATCTGTTTTATTTTAATACTATTTTTACGCATTAGATATTTCTCATTACAAAAAATGTTTGAGCAATTTTTATAGATATGGCTAAAAGAATTCAAAATTCCTCAATTGCTCCACTTTTTATCAAAATTCCCTACATACCGTCCATATCATCCAACCTCTAAAAATATGATTTTTATTTTTTTTTTCCTAGTTAAGAGCAAAACCGCTAATTCAATTAACGGTTTTACCTTACACAATTTTTTGTAAGGTGATTTTTTTACTCAAATAAACCGCTAATTCAATTATCGGTTTGTTTTGCACACATACACACACCAACAAAAAAAAAAAAAAAAAAAAAAAAAAAAAAAAAAAAAACATGACGTGGATTGTATGTAGGAATTTTTATGAAATGTAGTGTAATTGTAGAATTTTGATTTCTTTTAACAATATTCATGGAAATTGTTTCGAGGTTTTTGGAGTCCCTCGGGAGAGTTACAATTCCAAGAATGCGTGTCGACCGTCCGTACCTACAAAACCACGGAAACTCCGGTTGGGGGGAGTTCCGCCTCCGACGATCAAGTTAGAACATTTCCGGATGTATTAAAGTGCGGAATGTAAAGATTTTTCTCTCGGATTCCGGGAGAATTCTGAAATTAATATTGCTTGCTCGGGTTTTGTGTGTATATTTATGAATGTGTGATAAATGAGGATTTTCCTCTATTTATAGTGAGAGGGGATCAATTCCCCTTTCATATGCTAGAGTACCACGTGTCGCCGGAGGGTTGGTTCTCTCAGAACCCCTCTGATGCTGACACGTGTCAGCACGTGATTGGTCACGTGTACTGGGGTATTTTTACCCTAATTTGCCCCTCACAGGTGTGACGTGGCTTGCCACGTGGCACCTGTGACAGGTGTCATGCTCTGAGAAGGTGACGTTTCGTCTCTTTTTTTTTATTTATTTATTTTTTGAATTCAAATTGGGAAGGTGACAGTTCGCCTTCTAGGGTTCTCTATAAGTAGAGACCCCCCTCCTCTCATTTTCACACTTTGCTTATCTTGAGAAAATCTTCCTGGGAGAAAGCTCTGATACCGGCTGCTATTTCTTACACAACCGTCTTCCTTTTCCTCACTCATTCGGTCACCGTCTGAGTGCTCTTTTCTTAGAACTCATAGGTACCGTCTTACCATATACGAATTTCTGCCCTTTGCTCTCAATATACCCTCATCCGGTCTACCGTTTAGGGTATCATCAACCAAGATTTTAGAGAAACGGTTGGGTTGCTTTACAATTTTCAGTTATCCTGAAGAGGGTACATCTGGGCAACCGTCTAGGTTTCTTCTCCAATTTTCTGTTGCGCTTTAAGAGGATACATCCAGAATTCCGTCTGTGTATCTAGCAAGCAACAAAAAGATTTCCGGCTGCTGATCCGGATAGCCTACTTTCCCTTCACTCAAAGCATCTTCAAGGTACCGTCTCTACCCCTTGCAACTTTTTTGAGTTTTTCCAGTTGTATAGCTTGTAAAGAATCATGGACTCACCCAACACACACACGACACGGCCTAGGACAGTTGTTAGTCGGTCACCGGATACGGCGTAGTCTAGGACTGGGGATGTCGTCTGGGGGTGTTTGGACCACCCTTACTCTTCTGCGAATCCGACCGTCTCTATTCATGTGCAGGACAGAATGGCTCGAATGAGACAGACGGTTGTAGACCCCGAATATCAGTTAGACGGCTTAGCCGAAGCTCTGGCTAACTTTGTACCTTATGACCAACCGGGCGTACCTAGCACGCCCGGAGATGATATCTTTGACGAATCCGAGGATACAGGCGGCGAAGAGACCGTCCAGCAATAAGACTCTACAGAGTTGACTATGGAACCGAATGCCCCCCAAGAGGATGAGGAGGCATATAAATGGCCCTCTATCAACAATCCAACTGAGGCGCACATGACCGCTAGGGATGTGGTCACTCTAAATGCCACCTTACCCGGATTTTTACAGAAGCGCCCGGATGGGGTAGGATAGGAGATTGTTGTGCCGCCTGCAGAGGCAACCGTTATCTGGGATGACCCTTGATCATGCCGATGATTATTTCGGCTGCTATGAGGCGGCGTTCAAAGCCGACCTCCAGTTCCCCCTCCAAAATACAATAAAAAGCCATTCTAATGGGTTACGACCTTGGCGTTTGGCAGCTAACACCCAACTCCTAGGTGAATATACTAGGAAATATAGCCGCCTGCGAGATGCAGGACATAACGCCTAGCTGGGAGGCGTTTGCACATATGCACTACCTTAGTCGTGCCCCAGCACAATGTTTGCATATATGCTAAAGGAAGAGGCGTTCTTTTCCGCCTGTGGCCTTAGCACAATGTTTAGAAAACGTATGTTGATTGTTACTTTATGTCGTCTGTATCATGCTTGAATGGATTTTAACTTTTTGATTTTCTTCTCTTGCAGAGAAAGGATTAGAGATGGTGCCTCCTGAAAAGACGCCTACTAAATCTGCTGCACAGATCCGGAAGGATCAGCTAGAGAAAAAGAGGGCCCAACTGGCGGCTAAAGATAACGGGGAAAGCGCCGGTTGAGCTCTTTTACCGTTTGTATGGTTCGATGTTAACTCTGTTATTAACCGGCTGTTTCGTTTTCTTTGTCAAACGGGGAGCAAGAATGTTCCTCGCTCTTTAACAAAGATGCTGAAGAGACCGGGAGAGGAGCCCTCCCAACCTGCTTCTAAAAGCCGAAGGGTTCCGGCTGCCCCTGCCTCTACTGGAAGGCCGCTTGTGCATGAGAGGCCCACATTAGTAGGCAAAAGCCTGAAAGACCTTGGCCTTAGCACAGGGCCGGCTAAGGTTGAAACGAGGCAGCCCAAAATTCCCTCAAGCCGGGTGCTTGCTGTAGCGTCCGGCTCCAATGCGGCTGGAAGTGGGATGACCCCTCAGCCTGAAAATCAAGGCAGCCGACAGAATATAAGTGTCGCCTATGCTCAGTACTTAACCAATAAATCTATTGATGCAGATGCCTCTTCTCGTTAGCCTGACCTCCAAAATTATGCCAAGAGGATGCTGAGGACCCTCACCCGGTCCGAGAAGGAGGCGGTGCCGAGTGTACACCAGGTCAACATAGACCGCATCAACTCACTACTCACTAAGGTAATTGACTGGTTGGGGTGCTTTTGTGCCACTTTATTCTTTTGCTGGTTGTAGCGTAATTGAAATACTAACTCCTTTCCAGCTGACTTTGTAGGTGATGCTAAGGGTGGATGGCATGAAGGTCCCCTTGCGGAAGAAGCAGGAGGAGGTAAGGGATGCCAATAGAAGGGCAGCCGACTTTATTGGGGTTACTCAATACAACACCCTTATGTATGAAATTCAAACTAAAATTCGGGAGATGAAATAGGAGGAGCTAATTAAGGAGCTCACGGCTGCTGCTGACACAGCCAACAAGAAGGCGGTTGACTTTGAACTTCAAGTTAAAAACCTCCAAGCTGATGTCAAAGCAATGGGGGAGGTTTACAAGTAGAATACTGAGCTACGGTCAGAGGTCAACCGCCTGAAGAATGAGTTGGCCCAGACCCAGGCGGACCATAAGGGAAAGCTGGCGGCTGAGCAAGACCGGCTGATCGCCGAGACTGAGCGCGACTGTGAAGAGCGCATGAAGATGGCTTGGTCTATGATCCATCCGGACACCGACTAGGCTTTCTTTGACCTGCGGTACAAGTACGCCACTAAGGTGTTCGATGCCCAGCTTCTCGGAATAGAGAAGTCAGCTCCCTTTGAGGAATAGGCCGGCATTGCCGAGGAAGAAGAGGAGGAGCAGGCGGAATAACAAGCACTGGATGAGACAAACAAAGCTCAAGCCGTCTTCATGCGTCTCTCTCCTTCCTCCTAGGCGGAAGAACAAAGCTTGAGCTCAAGCCTTTAACCTAGAGTTTTTCAACCAAGGGGTACCGCAGCTCAGCATTTCGAAGAACATGGCTAATGAAATAGACCGGGAGTTGAATGTCGTCTCTCTCAGCTAGGAGAACGGCACTAAGGGCATGATCTGAGACAGCCAAGTAAATATAGAGAACCTCTCCTGCTAGAGGGCTGACCAGCCATGGCAATGAGTGGAGGTGTTCTTTCAATTTCTGGAATGCCGCCTCAGCATTTTCCCCCCATTCAAATCAAGTCTTCTTCTTGATTGCTTGGAAGAAGTAGAGGCACTTGTCGCCTGACCGGCTGAGGAATCTCCCCAATGCCGCCAGACAACCGGTAAGTTTTTGGACTTCCTTGACATTGTAGGGTGACTTCATGTCATTACCACCTGTACCATTTCCGGGTTAGCCTCTATCCCCCTTTGATCAATAAAAATCCGAGAAACTTTCCAGACTTAACACAAAAAGACACACTTCTTGGGATTAAGCATGACCTTATGTCGCCTG